CACAGCCGGCCGTGTCTGCCCCCCCGAGCTCCCGCCCCGCGTGGCCACCCCCGGATGCAGCTGCCCCAGGCTAACCCCCCGCCTCCGCGCCCCACAGTACCTGCCGATGCAGACGCTGCTGAAGTTCATGGCCGACATCGCCAGCGGCATGGCCTACCTGAGCAGCAAGAGCTTCATCCACCGTGACCTGGCGGCGCGGAACTGCATGTGAGTGGCCCCAACGCCCGACACCCCAACCGCCGGGCAAGGGTGGCACGGGCAGGTTCAGACCCGCCGCCCCGGCCCTGAGCCCCACTGGTTAGGGAGCTCTGCCCCCCGCCCCTGGGCTCTGCCCCAGTGGCCCCGCCCACATGCCCTTGTCTCCGCCTCCCACTCTGTGGCCTTGCCTCAGCTCTATGGGCACACTCCCACCCCCAATGGCCCCGCCCCTTGGGACACTGCCATCCTCAATAGCTCCACCCCAATGGCCCCACCCTCAGCCCCTTGTCTCCACCCCCTATTCTCAGTGGCCCCGGGCCAGCTCCATGGCCCCGCCCCGACCTCAACAGCTCTGCCCCTAGCCCCTCCCCACTTCCCTTGGCTCCAGTGGCTCCACCCCTAACACGAGTTCCCCTCCCACGGCCCTAGTCCTTGGGCCCCCCCTTGGAGACCCCGCCTCCAGCCCCGCCCACACTGAGCCCACCCCCAGGCTGGACGAGAGCATGCGGGTGCGCGTGGCCGACTTCGGGCTGTCCAAGAAGATCTACAGCGGCGACTACTACCGCCAGGGCCGCATCGCCAAGATGCCCGTCAAGTGGATCGCCATCGAGAGCCTGGCCGACCGCGTCTACACCACCAAGAGCGACGTGGTGAGGTGCCACCGGCCCCTGGCCACTGGGAGGGCCCCGGCACGGCCCCCTGCCCACTCCTAGCCAATGGGAGTGTGCCACTACTGCCCCCAAGGATGCAGTTACTGCCCCCATGGCCAATGGGAAGGCCCCAGTACTGGCCCCAGCCAATGGGAGGGCATGGTTCCCGTCCTCATCCAGCCAGTGGAAAGGCAGCATTTCTGCTCCCTGCCTGTCCTCAGCCAATAAGAAGGCATGATTACTGCCCCCCACCTGCCTCTGGCCAATGGGAGGGTACCAGTACTGCCCCCAGCGAATGAAAGGACATGGGTGCTGGCCTGCCCCCAGCCAATGGGAGAGCACCGTTACTGTCCCTGCCCCACCAGCCTGTACAGGGGCACAGTTCCTGTCCTCAGCCAGTAGGCAGGCATGGGTGCTGCCCCCAGCCAATGAGTGGGCACCATTATTCTCCATCAGCCACTGGGATGGCACTGTTATTGCTCCTGGCCAATGGGAGGTCACCATTCTTGGGAGGGCATGGTTGCTGTTCCCCACCAATGGGGAGGCAACTGTGATTGCCCCTGGCTCATGCAGGGACACCATTGCTGCCATTGGCCATGGTTCCTGCCCCTGGCCAATAAGAGGGCACCATGAATGGTGGCCAATGGGAAGGTGCCCTTGCTGCCCCCAGCCAATGGGAGGGCACTAACCCCTGCCCCCCCGCCACCCTCCCCATAGTGGTCGTTCGGGGTGACCATGTGGGAGATCGCGACACGGGGGCAGACGCCGTACCCGGGCGTGGAGAACAGCGAGATCTACGACTACCTGCGCCAGGGCCACCGGCTGCGCCAGCCACCCGACTGCCTCGATGGCCTGTGAGTGCCCCCCCCCCCCCCCCCCCCCCCCCCCCCCGCCCCTCCCGGGTCGCTCCCAGCAGGCTGTGGGGTGGGCCTGTGTCCTCAGGGTGTGCCCGCCCCAGAGGTGGCCGCATCTCAGGTCCCCGTTATGCCCAGCCTTCACATTCGACCCCAGAAGTGGCTGCATCCCAGGTCCCTGTTAGACCCAGCCCCAACATCCTGGCCCAGAGGTGGCCACATCTCACTCCACCCCGCTCTCCACAGCTACGAGCTGATGTCGAGCTGCTGGGCGCTGAGCCCCCGGGACCGGCCGGGCTTTGAGGAGCTGCACGAGGCGCTGGCCAAGATCCTGGGGGGGCTCCCGCCCCCCATGGACCCCGCTGAGACCCTCTATGTCAACATGGAGGAAGGGGGAGCAGGCGAGAGGGTGGAGCTGGGTGCTGTGGGGGGGTGGGGCCCCGAAGAGCCAGGCTGCCCCAAGGGTGGGTGTGTGGGGGCTGCCGGGGCCCAGGTGCCCCCTCCACGGGGGGCCGGGCGCTATGTGCTATGCCCACCCCCCCACGAGGGCAGCCGGGCCCTGGGAGACCCCCCTGGGACCTCCTCGCCCTGCACTGCCTCTGAGGACGGGGCTTGAGTGGGGCTGGGGGGGTGGTCTCTTGGACCCCTACCCCCACCCCCATTGGGCTCTTCCCAGTATGCTCTGGGGCACCTGGGGGGGCGGGGCAGGATGGAGTGCCCCCTCTTCCTGGTGAGACACCCCTGGCACATAACCTCCCACGGGGGTGGGGGGCTAGGGGCATTTGAGGGGGGCAACTAGCCCTGCGGGACAAGGG